AGACCCGTACTGGGTTAGAGACTAATCCCTATAGTCAGGAGCAGCAAGAAAAGATGGCCGCCTTAGTCAGAGAGAACAGGGAGAGGAAAGAGCGTGAGAAGCAAGCGAAGCTAAAGGCTATCGCAGACGAATAGGCGRCGAAGATGAAGAGATTGGAGGAGGAGATGAAGAAAGTACAACAAGAGGAGGAAGAAAGAAGAAAATCTGCTGAAGCAAAAGCGGCAGCAGAAGAAGAGAAAGAGAGGATGAGGATTGAGAGTGGAGAAGGGAGTAGTGGTGGCACGATGACGAGGGAGATAGATACAGGGCTGGAGAAGAGGATCAGCGAGTGGGTCGCTAATTTATCGTTGGGAGAAGACGAGGAGGCGGAGTCCTATGTGACTAAGGATGAGAAGGCTGCGCTGGCCGCTGAGCTAGCAGCCATGACAGACCCGATGGAACRAAGMGASAGGGAAGACGAGCAAAAGTTAGCATGRAAGTTGAGAATGAAGAGSGAGAAGAAGAGGAGGAGAGAGGAAGTGAATAAGATGACCGCAGCAGTGGCAAAGGTGCAGGAGTGTAGAGCGGAGGTGCTGGCCCAACCAGACGATAAGTCCAAGTGGGACAAAGTACTGGGGTACCTGGAGGTGTTGAGCAAGGCCTGGATGGAGGAGCGCCAGGCAAGCTGGAGCCAGGATGTAGCGTTGAGTGCCATGCGGTCAGGGTTTAGAGATTTTGCACATGAGATCGTCACCCATATTGGGGACGAAGTGAAGCAATTGAGAGATAATGTAGAGAAGTTTTGTGAGGGCGCCATTCAGGGTGCCACAGCTATAGCCGCTGTAGAGGGAGAGGCCAGACCTCGTAAGGACCCAGTGAAACTCAAGTTCCCAGATGCGTACGGGGGGAAGAAGGAAGAGAACTTTGACAACTGGGAMGCCAGTGTCAACAGTTATATTTACTTGCAGCATATCCTAACAGAGGAGCAAGTCCTCGTGGCCTTCCAGGCCCTGAAGGACGAAGCGGCTAGCTTCGCCAGGTCTCTCGCGCGTACAGCCGGTTGTGAAAACAACCTGGTTGCATATTCCAAAGTCACTCCTCTTTCCCAATTCCTCAAGCTCCTCAAGGAGCGGTTCGCT